TTAAGAAAACTCAAAAAAACTTTTTAAAAATAATTTTAGCAGGCAAATTTGCCTGCTAGACGGTTTAAGGGATATTTAAATTTTTTAATATTAAAATTTAAAAAGGAATTTCATAATTGGATAAATAACAATCATGATATTGATCAATTAATTCGACAAACACAACTTAATGTAAAGCAATTTAAAGATATTATTGAATGGATATCCTTTGCGAATATAAAGTATCTTGCTAAAGAAGGTTTTGGTACTGTTTTAAGCAATATGAATTGATGGATACATTACAGGATTTGATCAAAAGAATGAAAAAAAGTTTGCAAAAAAGTAGGTGTTTAAAAAGTCTTAATAATTCTAAAAATATAAACCAAGAATTTTTAAAAAAAGTAAGTATTATAATTTATTGTCGCAGTTGAAGATGTAAATATTAAATATGAAATTTTTAAAATTTTTGGGTGCTTCTTTAATAGTTAAGGTTTAATAATAAAAAAGTACAGTATTTTTAAATTGAGGTCCCTAATTTTCAACTTCAGTCATTCCTAGCTTCAACTGTGTTATTAAAAGTGTAGTAATTTTACAATATATACCTATTTTAATTAACATCTATTAGGTTAAAATTAACATGAACATGAGGGCAATTCTGCAATTGTAATTTATGAAATAACTAAAAACCCAAAAGATGTAGTCGATAAAGACGAATATTGAGAAAGTGGTGACTAATACTGTAGGATGGTAACTGAATAACACTATACAGTATAATCTACCAAAACACTAAACAAATAATGGAATAAGACTGAAACTCTAAAATGGAAGGAGGTATAGAAGATTTGGTCCGAGTTTTCAGAGCTTGGGTCTTATGATGACACTGCTGGGGTTCAGATAAGTTTTCTTTGATTTTTGACTTCCAAATTGCCTTGGTTGTTTTAGAGAAACTCAACACTAATACTTCTATATTTCTAATTCAAGTGTACTGCTTATTTCAGGGTCACGTGTCATGAAATCACGGTAATTTTGATTGTATGGAAAGAATGATAAAATTGATCAAACCTTTATTAAATGTTTAATTTAATATAAAAAGGGGTCTGGTTACTAATCAATATTTTTCTCTCTTTTACTCTTACTAAAAATCAAAAATATAGATAGGACGAAATTACGAGGACAAGAAAGTTTTTATGACAATTTTTCTATAATAATTTATTATTATTGTACTAGAGCTAACACTTCTAAGGTTAAAACTCAACTGAGTTATATTTATTGCAACGAAAAAGGACCATATTTATAACTTTTACATTGCTGCGACACTTAGTAAACTTGTTTGCTAATTCTACTAAATTTACTTATCTAACAAGTTACTAGGTTCAATAAATCTGATAAATCAAATTAATTGAACTTATTTAACTTCAAACTTCCCAACTTTCGAACTGGATGAAACAAGTAATTATTTTCATTTGTTTGCTATACTAAGATACTATATTCTAACTATGTTGGGTTCTACTGACAAAAAATAACAATGACAATAATAGAAAAGGAAAATATATATATAAAAAGGAAAACTTTGGTGAGACAGGTACTCACAACGTAAAATATCAAAACCTCAATGGGAAATCTTGGAGCTGGTTACAAAATTACTGATGATTTTCGAAACAAATTAGGTGTTAAAAAGAATAGATAACGAGCATTCACCTATAGTTAAAACTTAGCCAGGATAAACAAATATGATGACAATGTTGAAAATGGAAATGAAATAGGAATAGACGAAAATGAGGCATCCAATTCTTATAAATTTGCTAATATAGGCCTCGGTAGTGGAAATTGTTGCCAAAATGGATTGGGTGATTATGATGAAATGTGTAATCTTGACCAATGTCATGACAATGTTGTTGGTATTGAAAAGAATTATGCAGAGAGAGTTTTAACCTAATAATTATAGATTATAGCACTAGATATTAATGTCGAAATGGAAGGGAGACAGTGAATATTTAATGTTGGACCTTACTATCTATATGGTGTTGGGTTAAAAAGAGACCATGTGGCATTTATTCAATATAAAATATCAGCAGAGATATTATATTATTTGAGTGAAATTCATTAAAAATTAAAACTCTTCCTAACAATCATTTAAACCAAAAATCTGACTAAATAAAAAAACAAAATTTTTGTTGGAGAGATGTGGCTATGAAGTGGTTTGTC